GGGTCCCTGGGGGGGCACAGCCGGGTGTCCCCCCGGAGGGGAGGTGGCTCTCGCGCGAGGGGGTGGAAAGAACGCCCCAATTCCCCGGGGATCCCCCCGTTTCTGTGGGAAATTTGGGGTCCCCCATCCCCTCCCCACCTTCCTGTCACTGTCCCCTCCCCTTCCCCCGGGGGGGCTTTTTTAGCACGTCAGAGAATAAACTGTGAGGAAGAGGAGGGTGGGGTGTGGTTTTGGGGGGATTTGGGGAGGGGACCCCACTGGGAGGGACCCTCCGAGGTCCCCCTTTTGCCCGGGGTGGGGAGGGGGGTGGACACCCCATTAAATCAGCCCCGGGGGTCCCTGGGGCTGTCCCTGCTGGGGGGGGTGTTCCCCCATTCCCCCCTTGTTTGGGAACGGCTCCATCACCCCCAAATCTCCCGTCACGCCCCGATTTGGGGCTTTTCCAACGGAATTCCCGTTAATTGATCCCCCGCCAGGTCTCAGCCCCCCCCCGGGAGAGCCGAGAGCGGCCGGGGACCAGAGAAAAGTGTGTATGGGGGGTATGTGTAAAATTTAAGCGACTTTCGGGAGTTTTGACACCCGAATTCCAGGGTTTTTTTGCCCACAGAGTGGTTCGGGAATGGCGGGATCCGGCGGGGACACCCAGAAATAGCTCCTTGGAAAGAAAAACAGTGGCCGTGGGCAGGGCCCAGGGGACACGGCGGGGTCGGGCTGCACAGACTTATTAGGGAAAGGACAGTTATCCCTGGGGAGGGGGGGTGTCTCCATCCCGGTTTTCCATGTGGGAGCCAGAATTCCCGGTCCGCTCCAGCGCGCGGGAAGCCCGAGTCCAAATTGCATCCCCCCCCCGGGCACCTGAGCCTTGGCCTCGGTGTTAATTAAACGAGCTTTAATTAACGGCTGATGGGGGAATGGGGGGGGTCGGGGCAGCTCCCCCCAGCTGAGGGGGGGTCCCTGCGGTGCCACCAGGTCACCCTCGAGCCACCGCGTCCCCCCTGAGGGTCCCGGCGACGTCCCGTGTGATGAGTTCGTGAGGGCTCAGCCCACCCCAGACCCCGCCACCCCCCAAAAACAGTGGCAGGCCGTGGGGGGACACACACGGGGGGTCCCGGAGATGTCAGTTTTATTAATGGCACCGCGGGGACACGGAGGGGACAAGGACAGGGCGTAGAAAAACACGTCGGGGGGGGCAACGGTGCCTGAACGTGGGGTGGGTGGGTGGGCACGGGCAGAGCCCCCCGGCCCGGCCGCAGCCTCGCCTCCCCCCACGGGGCTCCGGCCGGCTTGGGGGGGGGGGGGGAGTGGGGTTTGGGGGGGGGTTGTGGGCCGGGGGGGTTAATGGGGGCGACAGGAGGGGGACAAAGGCGACGGGGCGGGGGCCACCCCGCGACGTCATTCGGGGTCGGTCGCGGGGAGAGACAAGAAAACGGTCAGAAAAATGAGGAAAATCGGGGGGAAAAGAGACCCCCACCCCCCGGGTTTTGCGAGGGGGTGGGGGGGATGACAGGGGTGACACGGTCCCGCCCCAAAATCCGGCGGTGGCTTCGTGTTCCAAGAGAGAGGAATTCCCTCCGCGCAGGGCCGGCACCGCCCGAGGGGCTGCGGGGCGGTGCGGGGGGGGGACCCCCGGTGTGTCCCCAAGGCCGGGGGTGGGGTGGGGGACCCGCGGCGAGGACCACACCCCGCTCCTCGCCGGGTCCCGAGCCTGCGGAGGGGTCTGGGGGGGGGGG